AGGACAAACTAGGTAAGCAAAAAAAAAAAAATATTCAAGCATTTAATCAGGAACAAGCAAGAAAAAATGATTAATTATTAATCTACTAACTCTGTAGATTTTGGACTTTCTGATGTCCTCTCTTGTGGAGAACATGATCTAGACCTTTGTGAGTCACTATTATTTGATGCAACTGATTTTGGACTACCACTTTTGGATCTTTGAGAGCCAGATTTCTCACTATGCATAGATCCTACACTTGAGTGCCTAGAATCTGATCTAACTGGAGATGGACTTTTGGAATTTTGTCTAGAATCTATTTTTTCTCCTGCAGATGGACTACTGGATCTGGAAGATCTTTCACTAACATTTGAACCTATTGAACGAGCATCAACTTCATCAGAATTTCTATCATGTGTTGAATTTGCAGCATTAGAGTTAGGTGTACCACTGTGGCTTGATCTAGAAGATCCTGACTGATTATTATCTGATTCTGAACCTAAAAAGTACTCCTTTTAATATAATGTTTTTAAAAGAGGAGATACAATTCAATTTATATTAAACAAAAACTAAATATACACATTGAATTAAAATTGCTAAATTATTACCTGAATCCCAATTGGAATCCCGTAAATTTTCTTTCGTTGGTGACATGTTTTTTTTATGTTTAAAGAAATGTTATTTAAAAATACATTCTCTAAAACATGTTTTCGAAGTTTTCATGAAACTAATAGATAGAAAGTTCAGTCAATACAAACAGTGTAGAAAATGTTCTAGATATATTTCAAGAATCGTAGAAGTTACTATAGAAGGCAATATAAAACAATTCTGGAGATTCTAGTTTTAGTCACTGAGAAAATGGTTGCAAAATTATAAGCTATGATTGGTGTCGTCATTTTCTGGCAATTGTCATACTTGAAAATGTATGTTTCGTGACAATATTATATACATGTTTATTGTCCGGCAACGGAAACTTCAGGCTTCAGGGCTTTAGGGTCTAGAAGTGGGAGATGTAGAAGTTGTGACGCCTCGTTGTTAATCAGCCAATAGTGATAGAATAAGGCTATTGCACTTACTCTTAGGTTTTCGCTGATAAATCTGTTGAATGGCATAGTTTAATTATTTAGTTGTGATTGTGAATGTTTATTAGATTTAATTTTCAAATATGTTTATTACTAGAATAACCCTTGTATTGTTTTATGTTATTTATTAAAGTATTCAAGTAAGAAACGAAAATAAACTGATTTTAAACAAATATGTCGTGATTTTATAAGGTAATTGTTAATAAATTTCTTTTTTCTGTTTTTTGTCAGTGGGATTAATATATTAAAAAACTAAATTAAAACGTATTTTATAAAATTTTCTCAGTACTGAGTTATAAAAATGAATAAATAGGTTAGAGGTTTGAAGAAGAATCTTGTTCGAAGTGTATTTTCGTTAAAATTTAATTGATTATTCGTCATTCTCATTGAAAAATGTTGGATTATCATATACATGATCTTTTGATAATTTCTCATCTCCTCTTTCATTATGTACATCGTCTTGAGGTTGTGTATGATGTTGTTCTGCTAAAATATTTGAACGATGCTTTTCAAATGCATCCATTACATGTTTT